ACGTATAACAAATTGTGTTGTTTTAGAGGCTTTTAAATTATTATTTTATTCCCTGTGTTGATGTGGAATTTGGCCAACTGTCTTCCAAAGTACTCGTCGCCAGTGTTTTGGCTGTATTCTCGTCTCTCTTTTTCCTCTTTTTGAATGTATCACAATCCTGTACACCCGTCTGAACAGCTGTTTTTACACATCTGTACCGTAAAGAAGTGGATTGTGCAGCAGTTTGACACACATCTGTGCAGATGTTTGTACCGTACACCTGTCCGCGCAGCTGTTTGTGACACATTTATACAGATGTTTGATCATGTATGTACTGTACAGATGTTTGTACTGTAGCTGTGCGCACAGCTGTTTGACACATCTGGGCAGATGTTTGATCCCGTGGTGTTCTGTACAGATGTTTGTACCGTACAGCTGTTCGACACAGGCCCGTGCAGCTGCGTGCGGGCAGATGTGCGACCGCGGCTGTTCCGTGCAGATGTTGGTACAGATGTTCCCTCCTCTAAGTGCCTGACATGTCTGTGAGCTCGTCCTTCTGCGGATAAACAGATGCCGATGTGTTTGTTCCGGTTTGTGCACTCGTGGATGTCTCTGGATAGCATAAACGGTTTCTCTCATTTTGTTTTTCATTTTAAAGCGATGTTACTTTTATTCATTTCGTTTTTACAATAAATCTGATTTTGGGTTCAGAGGCTTTGTTTGTTTGTTTTGTTCGCTTTTTTTCCATCTCTTCACACAAGTGGTTCCCTCCTGCCTTTTTCAGTCCTAAATGGTAGGGGGGGGTTTATAAATACTGTATTTTAGTACTTTTCTGTACTAAAATGACAAAAGAGCCTTCTTAGCTTCATGAGGAGGGACATTCCTGAGCAGAATACTGCAGAGCTGGCCGCCCCCACAGGGCCAGACCCGTCAAAATGTACAAAAAAAAACCACATCAGGTCACAGAAAATGAGAGCCCAGAGCTTTTATTGTCCCTGGACACGTTACAGTGTGGTTAAAGTAAATATTTGTACACGTTAAAGTGAAGGACTTCCCTCATCCCAGAGCATCCGTCGTGTTAATGTCGATTTATTCGGGAATAATCACCCCCCCGATTCCACCCCGCCCAAACAGGAGCCTCTATGTCTTTATCCCCACGTCCCGGCTGGACGCTGCGTTCAGGTCCATCGGTTTTTCCCGGCCCCCGGCGGCTACTCCTCCTCCTCCAAACCGGCCGACAGGTCTGCGAAGCGCGCCAGGGCCCGCCCCCCCGGCGGGTTGTAGAAGAAGGCCTCGATCTCCCCCCCGCCGTGGTCCTGTTTCTGGAAGTGGATCTCCAGGATGTCCTGCAGGGTCTCCTGCTCCATGACGTCGGGGATCCCCGTCAGCAGCACGGTCCGCGGGCAGGTGGTCATCTTAGTCTGCCGGGGGAGAAACCGGGGGGTCAGAAACCCGTGGGAAGGGAAAGAGGAAAAAGAGAAAAGAGCCTTCTCTCGCCCTCTCTCTCTCTCTTGCCCTCTCTTTCCCCTCACCCCCAACCGGCCGAGGCAGATGGCCGGCCACCCTGAGCCATGTTTCTGCTCCAGGTTTCTGCCTGTTAAAAGGAAGTTTTTCCTTGCCTGTGTCGCCTAGTGCTTGCTCATGGTGGGAATTGTTGGGTTTCTGTAGTTAACTTCAGAGTAGGGTCTGACCTGCTCTGTTTGGAAAGCGCTATATAAATAAAATTGAATTCAATTTTCTCTCCGACTGACCTCCAGCTTGGTGATCTTCCCGTTCAGGAAGGGGGTGACTCTCACTCTGTGCTTCGTCTGGAGATTCACCTCATGGAACTCCGTCTTCGTCAACCCTTTGGCAACTGAGGGGCGAGAAGCAGAAAACGGTCCAAAAACCCTGATCCAGACCCCTACACACTAGGGTTGTCACGATACTAACATTTTCAACTCGATACCGATACTCAGGAAAATACTCGATACTCGATACCATTTTCGATACCACAAAGATAAAAACAGACCCCAAAATTTAACTGAATCGTGTCTTTCATTTCAAACTGACCTGTTACTGATGTTATCGTGACTGTTGGCCCACATTAATGACCCTAACCCTAACCCTCCAGCCTTCATAATTGTGAGAAATATATATTTTTTGGTTAAACTTGTTTGGACTTATTGTACAAACCGATTTAATATACACTATTTTAACATAATGTGTAGGCTATAGAGTTTAATTAAGTGTTTGAAAGATTCATTTAACTATTTTTAAATTAATGTCTATATTGCCATGAAGCAATAAGGATTTTCTTGCCTGGGACCTTCCTATTGGTGACCTAATGAAAATGTCCGACTTGGATATGGGCGGAGTTGGATATGTACTTGATTACTGTTGGCGTGTTGTTATTAGCCATTAGCCGCTGCTAACAGTTCAAAGCTAACGTCTTGTTAATGATCATAAACAACTTAAATAAATATGAAAAATAAATCGGAGGGACCACGGGGGGGGGGGGCGGTGGTATCGATACTTTCGAAAATGAGTATCGTATCCGGATACAACATTTTAGTATCGATACTTGTTTGGGTATCGATAGTTTTGACAACCCACACACACACACACACACTCTCCCCACCGTGGTCCTCCACGAAGGCCACCACCACGGTCCCGGAGTCGGGCAGGAACTCGCACGCGTCCACCTCCCCGCCGCCGTTCTTCCTCTTGGAGAAGTGGATCTCCAGCTTGTTGACCAGCGTCTCGGTGTCCATCCTGGGCAGGCTGGAGACCAGGACGCGGTGGGGGCAGACCTCCGAGTCCACCTGGGGACGCACACGGTGGAGGGAGGGGGCACCGGTCAGTGGCTCGGGCCGGTGGGTTGGTCGGGTTGGTCAGAAGGGGCCGGCTTACCTCCACCAGGCTGGGCACCATCAGCTGGACGGGCCGGGCCTCCACCTGGACTCTGCACTCGCCCTCCAGCTCCACCGTGTGCGTCCCCATGCTCAGGATGTTACTGGCCACTGAGGACCGGACAGAAAACGCCCTCAGCCACTGGTTTACCCGGTCAGATTTCTGACCGAGAGCCACTCTCTCCGCTCTTCGCTCACCCTCCTCCTCCTCGAAGGTGACCAGCGCCGTCCCCCCCGCCATCGGGTAGCTGACGTCCGGCTTCATGTCGAACGTTTTCCAGGCGTCCGCGTCCCCCGTCTGGCCCCTGAAGACGAACCTCCTCTCGGGCATGGCGGAGAACACCTGAAACCGGCGGGAGTTTGGGAGACTTTAGAGCCCCGTTACGGCCGTAGACTGACTTCCTGTCCACTTCCCGAGACCTGACCACAGCTCCCAGTGACCGGCTGATGCCGTCCACCTGTGAGGAGGCCGCTCCACCAATCAGGAGGGGCCAGACGCCGGATTTGAGGAGCCAGGAGTTAGGAATATTGTTACAGATCTGCTCCCAGGCCAGCGTGTGGACACTTTTGAAGGGTATTGTTTTGGGACTGTGCTGTGGCACTTGAACTTAATTTGGACTATTTGGAATAATTCCAGTTTGGTTTTGTGTGGTTGTTTCTCTGGTTTAAGCGCAGTTGGTTTTGTGTTCTGTCTTGTTTCTCTTTTTTGGTATTTGATTGCTGGCTTTGTGTTCATTGGTTGAATCTTTCCTTTAGTGTATAAATAAGTTTTTGTCACTACCAAGGACATCTGGTCTGTGTTGTGTTGTTTTCCCCTCAACGAGCTGGTTATAACACGCTCTCAGGACCAGAGAAACTCTGGGAAGAGCCGGGAACGACCTTTCAAACACTATCAGAGCATCAGATTCTCTTTCCTCCTTCAGAAACCCTTGAAAACCCAGCTCTTCCCAAAGTATCTCTGGTCCTGAGAGCTCCAAAATCTCTTATTTCCAGATAGCATGTAGCATCAATGAACGGTACTTATGTAAATCTGTGCTAAAGCTGAATGTTAAATCCTTTATTTTGAACTGAGGGTAAGCTAAGTGTGGAACTGGAGTTGTAGCTGAATGTTAAACCCTCTTTTTTGTGAGTAGCCTTGGATAAAAGCGCCTGCTGGGTGCAGAAATGGGAAAAAGAAGGGGACCTACGTCCGTCTGTGCTCTCAGGTGGATGTTCTGGACCTCCTCCTCCTTCATGGCCGTCTTCATTTTCTGGATCTCCTTCTCCAGGTCGGCCTCCTCCTGCCTCAGCAACTCCAGCCTCATCTGGAAAGCACCCCCACCCCTCTGAATTAAACCTCTGCGTGCCCGGGGATGCTGACCGGGTGGGCGGGCGTGCGTCCACCTTCCCGTCGGTCAGCTGCTCCCCATGGAGCCGCCGGTCCTCCTCCAGGTCCTGGGAGATCTTCTCGGCCCGCTGCCGGAACTGGCGGGCCATCTCCCGCTGGTCAGCGGTGCCGTCGGCCAGCTCCTTCTGCTCCTCCAGCAGCAAACCGTACCGTTTCTGTACGGGCAGCAGAACCGGACGCTTAGTTCAGGGACACGCCTGACACTCAGACCGGTCAGATGGAGCTCAACGTCACATCAGTTCGGATGGAGTTAAAAACATGAAACACGCTGAGAGTAGAGCTGTTTCTGTGGTATTTTTACTACTTAAAACCTTTTTACTTTCAGCTTCTGAGACTTTAAAATCCTTTTTTTTAATCTAGACTTTAACAGAACGGCTGGGAGGTGGAGTTAGGAGGTACAGAGTTATCCCTCCATTTCCAGGACTTATTTCTAATCTGACAGGAAGTGGAAATAGTTCTGGTCTGTAGGTTTGAGGAGTTTAACAGACCACAGAAAAAGTAGTTATTTTTTCCTGCCTCTTTTTGTCTTGTTCCATCAACCTGCTGAGGTCAAAAGATGTAAAAAAAAAAAAGAATTAATAAAAAAAGAATAATTCTAAAGCATATACCCCCCATTTAAAAATTGATAATATAGACCATCTTCATATTACTTTTCTTTCCCCATCAGGATGTGAAAGAGATTAATGGTGACAGGTTTTGGCACATCTCCAACTTTTGTGCTGCATTTTTGGGGCGTTGGTGGATGGCTCCTGCTTGTTTTGCTTTTTTATTTATTCGTGCGCAGGTGGCTCGTGCGGATGGCGGAAGTGTTCTCGCGCACCTTGAAGTCCTTAATCAAAGCTCTGACCCCCTCCAGGGTGTCCTCGGACGGCTGGTTGTCCGTCACCAGGGAGAAATCCTGACACCAGAAGGATAAACGGACATTAACTAAACGCACCATCATCTGTGTGGTCATAAAAATGAAATGAATAAAGATGACGTCTCACCTCGTCTGATGACATAGTGAAAGTGACCTGAAACGTGCAATAAAATATCAGATTTTCAGATTGACGTCGGCAGAATATGAAAAAAAAAACAACTTTCTAACGAACTCAGTCAGTGTCGACACAAAGAAACAAAAAATGAAGAAAAACTTTGGGATAAATCTTTTTCAAGGCCCGGTCCCACGTCCACTAACTCAGTAACTACTGAAATGACGTCAAACCAGAGGTTCGTTTAAAATCACGGCTGGGATGAGCTGAGATGAAGTCTGGTTATCTGTTTAAACCGTTAAAACCGCATAAACGCCTTAAATGTTTTAGTAAAAACCCAAAAGGAGCTCGATGATGACTCACCTTCTCCCTCCGATGCGTCCAAATCTTTGACTTAAGCTTTCAGTTTCTATTTCACAGTAACAGGAGACGTGAACGCAGCGCGATAATACCGGGACACGGGTGCGTTCAGGTTCTATTGGAAATGTGTGTTTCTCTGTTAAACATCCAGGGGAGGAGAATAAATTATATTTTCATTTCTCAAAACTTATCACCTTATTAATCAAGTTTACAATTATTCGTTGTTGCATAAATTAACATCGTCCTCTTGGGCTGGTGCCTTCAGGGAACACTCCCTGGTGGGAATATCTTCTGCTCGTTATCTCCAAACTAAGCAGAGCATGTCTCACTGTTGTAGCTTTTCTTCTTGATACAGATTTGTACATTGTTCACACATATTAAAGTAACAGATCCTGACATTTTCTGGAAGGACAGCTCAAGATCTCCCTCATCTCTGACCACCACTGATTCAATAAAATGTTTTATTTCAAGCGAACTAGCAACATTGACTTGCTCATGTGCCACAAAAAAATAGATTTAAAGAAATCAAAGTGAGATATGAAGGTACAAGCTACTTTTTTGGGTGGGAGAAATGTATATATAACAATTGTGTCAACTTTGTATTGTAGCCTAGTAGATGGAAATGTAAAAAAATGGAAACATGGGAATGAATGTCAGTTTTTGAAAAAAAAAAAAAAAAAGGAAAAAATAAAAAAAAAAAAAAATGGAAAAAAAAATAAATTTTTAAAAAAAAAAAAAAAAAACGGAAAGAATTGAAGAGAAAATGACTTGGTGAAAAGAAACATGGGGAAAAAGTGACAAACAGTTCAATGAGTTTTAAAGGAAATTGCTTTAAAAATCAATTATATATACATACATTTTTTTACACACATATAGAAAATGGTCAGGATATATAATGGCCTAGCACTTCATCATTTGATGCATTCTTAGTATACCAATTTATTCAGACTTTGTTTCTGCTGTTATTTTTACTTCTGTCAGTTTCTGCCCTCAGTACTAAACTCAAACAGCTCAGAAACCGATTGGTGCTGAAACGAGCAGTTAAGAGGCGCCAACTTCAGATGGCAACACCAAAATGATCAAGTACAGACGGAACAGAGATGAAATACACCGATTCAAAAGGCACAATTCCTCATCAGCTGAATTAAAATGGAAAATAAAAAGTCCAAGAATCCCCCAAAGGTTGTTTTTAAACATTTATTTGTGAAACCAAGTGAATTTAGAATCTGAGCTTCTGGAAGAACCACTTGTTTTTGCCCGTCTTGTACCTGAAAAACAGGGGGAAGGTTTTACTTTAAGGCTGGGAAATAATCAAAGCTTCAGAACTCTGAGCGGGAGACTCACCTCTCCTCAAACTTGACCTTTGCCTCCCGCCTGGCTTTGCGTTTGAGGGCCGGGTCCCTGAAGACGTCCTTGTTGACGACAGTTTTGTCCAGAGGAATATCCACAGAGTATCTGAGAAAAGGTCCATGAGGGTTATTAGTTTTCTTTTCAAAAAAGAGAAAATACTATTTTCACTGCACTAAAACAAAGATAAATGACTTAAACTAAGTTATTTAGCTAATTATGCTTAAATTAAGCAATTCAAACAATAAAAATATTTGGAAAGAAGCCTTTAAATGTCAGCATTTGTTGGGAAACAAATGGGATCTTTAAACTTTGGTTTCTGTCCTGCAGGTATTAGAAGTGTCCCTGCTACAAAAAACCTGATTCTAAATTTATTCTCTCTCTTAAAAAGATGCTACGCTGCCGGTGGAGCATTGATGTCAGACATGCTGCAGTTAAACGTCTAAAACCTGCAGGACAGAGGCTGACGGGGCCGTTTAGACCCCTCTGGGCTGAAATCCCCCTAAAGCAAAAATAAAATGGAAGAGAGCGCCGTGTACACAGTGAATATTCCTAATTCATAGTGGTCATCTGTTGGGGTCTAACGGTCCCAGAGTTGTGTCATTTCTTTTCAAACTGCATTTACATCAGATTAAAGTTTAAAGCCTCACTTTAAACATGATCTGAACGGGAAATTCACGGCTCAGGCTTCAGGTGAGACGTGTATGTACGGGACACACCTGGTGGGCATGAGGTGGTTGTAGTTGAAGACCTTCACGAAGGCCTTGATCTTGGACCTCTTGGCAATCTTCTTCTTGCCCATGGTGGTGGTCACCTTACGGGGGTAGCGGTCGATGCCGGCGACCAGGGCGTGGCTGTAGGGGCGGTCAGCGGTGCCATCATCGATGTTCTGAGGAGAAAAAAATGCAACGGGACCCACATCAGCCTGGAAAGCCAACGACAGGCTTTCTGGGGATTTTCCACAGCAGCCAACTACCCTGAGATACACAACAGCAGCACATCTAAGCTATGAGAAATAAATTAACTGGATTATTTCGTAGACTTCCACATTTCTAGAGGAAACTTAACTGTCAAGGTAATTATTGATGAATTGGCTGAAGCTGAGATGGTGCATGGACAAAGCCAACAAAGATAGAAGCATTAACTATTAAAGAGTGCTTTGTTCACAATTTCAGACAAAATGTCAGAAAGTTGAAGCTGCTCAAAGGTCGCTTTTTACCTTCACGATGACAGCTTTGCGTCCGGCGTAGCGTCCAGCCAGGACCATCACCACCTTCCCAGGCTTCATAAACTTGCCCATTCCTGACAAAATAAAGAGTTTTACAGTTCGTGTTATTCTTCACCATCAAGTTGAAAGAATTCAGATAGACAAAACAAAATTGCAGATATTAATTAGCACGAATTCAAGGCTAATATTTACGAGAAAGCTGAAGGTTTTCGCCTTGTTGCTGCGTTAGCTTGCGGCTAAGGAACAACTACAATAACACCTGCCAGCTGCTAACAGGTTCGGTGATTATTTATGTTTTAATTTGGGAGCATATCTTGGTTCTAATAAAAGCAAAAAGCCTCAAAATGAGGTCTACATCTATAGGCTTATGAATCCGGTTAAAGTTCAGTGAGACTGCGCGTCTACATCAAGGGAGCTGCCATGTTGAAATGAGCGAAGCGCTCAACTAACTCTTCGTTTTTACCCACTAATCAACCCCCAATTTACTAAATAACAGACACGTCTTATAAACTGGGACGATTGTCGTAGAATTGTTGTGGTAAAAACGAAAGATTAAGCCACGTTTGGAGCGATGGATGAAGATTGTTTGAAGGGAAATCTCACTCACTGATGCTGCTCTACGGCCACCGCTAACAGGAAAGGAAGTAGAAAAGGTCTTTCTCACCTTTGACCCGCAGAATTCACTACGTCACTTCCGGAAACCGACACTAACGGAACGGAATTATTATTTTGGTTTAAAAAAACAAAACTGTAACCACACATGCTTATTTACGTTTATCAAAAATGTTTGACTCACGAACATACTGAAAATTACCGCATTATTGCTTGATTAGTTTTTAGAGCATCATAGTCACATCAGCGTTAGCAACTAAATAAACCTAAACAAATACACTGAAATCCTTTAGCAGTGGTATATTTTCTAATTTTTTTATTTGGTTGTTAAAAAATAATGGAAACTTGAACTCAATCATGAACAGCAAAAGAAACGCATGAGTAAAACCTTCTGAAATTGTAAAGATAATCCTGCAAATTAGCTTACTATAAACTGTATTTGCTAGATTTGTCTTACTTAATATTCTTTTATTTTCTATTTTTATTTTTTACTGAATAGACAAATTAAGTTTATTTTGTTGTTGTGAGAAAGCCGTCTGATTTATTATTTTGATATACATAAGAGCTGAACATTTACTAATCTACTTGTTTCCCACGTTCATGTTTATGAGGAAGAAAGTTACATTTCCTGAAGTCTGTTATAGATTAGGAAGACTAAAACAAAGCAATTTATTTATTTGAAATGTTAACCCATAGAAAAATCAGCAGCTTTTCATGACAATAATTTATTTATCCAGCTTGTACTGCCAATTCCCTGTAATCATATTGATGATTAATTATATTTAATGACATAGGGGAACACTGGTAGATTTAAGGGCTGCTTTCTGAAAACTTCTACATTCAGATTTGCTACAAATGAAAACAAACTCCAATTTATAGATCTAATTAGAATATGTAATTAAAAAGACATATACATGTAGGAATTAGGAATTTTTACTCCCCAAAATCTGAAATTAGCATATTATTCAGGTATAACATTTACAAATATGTTATTTTCTGAGGACAGCACTGAGGATGTATTAAGAAAAGTAGTTCAGAAAAGTAGTTTGAGGAAATATTGAAATTTGAAAAGCATTGAAATATTTCAGTTTTTTTAGGCTTCAGTTGCATTACCCAGATGCACTTTTAACTTCTGACACTGTCAGAAAGTAAAGAAATAATGAGAGCAATAAGCAGCACAATGGAATAATGAGGGTTTAATCTGTTTACAGCACATTAAATATAATAAAACCCAAAACAAACACAATTCATTCCTCCCGATATATTGGACTTAATTTACTATTAAATAAAAGTAACATAAATAGGACAATTCAAATAATATGGTGCGTCTTGTTCCCAAAATAATCTGCTTCAGTTCCAGAACACCAGCTACTTTTAGTGTTTTAAATAAATAACGAAACAACAAATAACTAAGGTTGGAAAATAATCAGCAAAATGTGGCGCAACAGGTTCTGAACTTCTGAAAAGTGCACAAGTCAGGGGTCAGGATTTCATCTGAATGGGAGGTCCGACACATGGGTGTTGGTCACAGGAACTCTGAGGGTTCGACAGTAAGAAAACTTACATCAGATACAAACTAGCCTCAGTTTTACAGCATCTATGGTTCGTACATTCATAAGGGTACCATCGCTGCCGCCTCTGGAATAGAAAAAACAGAAACCTGGGCTAAAACTCTTACATCCAAAGGTTAAGAACGAGACATGTTCGCTTAGTGTTGGACCCCTCCGGGAGGAGGAGGAAGCAGCTGCTCACACGGCGTGGAAACGCTCTCAAACGGAGACGAGACAGAAGGCGAAAGCTGCATATTTGTGGGGAATCCTTCAGGGATTTGACCTGTCCCGTTTCCTCTGACGGAAACTAAGGAAAAACACTTTTTCAACTTGACCTGAGTGCTTCTGTTGAGCCACACGACCCACCGGTCTGCTACACGTGGCTCGCGTGGGGAACAGTTCCTGCTGTGTCAGCGTTTTTTTGGGGCTGTTTGGATTCTGTCGGAGGGGAAACGCTGACGTTTCAGACTGCCCCCGGGCTGCTGGCTGCATAGGTGGGAGGGTGGACAGGTCGGGAAGGCTTCTCTAGAGGTGAGGTGGTCTCGGGGTCCACTGTAAGGCATGTTTGACAGCTAAAGCGGCGCCGCTCTCCGGGGTTGGCGTTTTAAACGTAGCGCGGGACGCAGGTTAACACGACATCCATGCTGACATCACACATTTAGACCGTACTTCAAACAGGCGGATGCTTAAATAACCGGCGGGAGGTCTCGCACTCGTGGAGCTGGGTCTCCCGAATGCTAACGGCTAACGGCTAGCAGCGAACGCTTTTTTGGGGCTCCCTTCCCTCCTCAGAAGGCGTCCTTGATGTTCTTGAGCTGGCGCACGGCCAGGTCGGAGGGCAGGTTGAAGCGGAGGTGGCTGATGCGGCCCAGGATGCGCAGCGCCCCCTCGAAGCCGGTCTGGGCCATGTAGCTCCAGGCCTGGTAGTGCGGGTGGATCAGGCTCCCGGCCTTGCACAGCAGGTTGAGCCAGGACACCAGGCGCTGCTCGTTCAGGGCCATGCACACCAGCGCCTTGAACTCGGAGTCCGGCCCGCGCTTGTAGCGCCCGTGCTCCGTCAGCACGTGGTGCACGGCCCACAGCAGCGACTGCTTGGGCGTGACGGCGGCCGGCCCGCCGCCGCCGGCGCCGGCGCCCACCGGCAGGCCGAAGGAGTGCGACAGCTGGCGGGCGGGCGACTCGGCGAAGGCCCGGCCGTTCTTGGAGTGGTAGTACTTGACGAAGAGCTCCCAGGGGTGCATGGCCTGGGGCGCCGGCGGGTAGGGCAGCAGGCAGGAGATGGGCGCCAGCACCAGGCTGACGGCCTGCGAGGGCCGGACCAGCCCGTGGGACAGCAGCTCCCTGAGGGCCGCGGCCAGCTCCCGCCGCACCGCCACCGTCAGCGCGTCCCGCCCCCCCGCCCCCGCGCCCCCCCCCGCCGGGGGCCCGCTGTAGCTGACCACGTGCTCCGCCGAGGGGTGGCGGCGGGAGCCCAGCACGCGCACCGTCTCCACGGCGACCTCCAGGCGCTGCAGCAGCGGGCCGTAGTCCGCCGGCCCCCCCGCCCCCCCCCCGCCCCCCCGGGCCACACGCTGGGCGGGGGCACGCGGCCCGCCGCGCAGCCGAACTGGCTGGCGGCGAAAATCTGCAGCACGGCGAGCGCCTTCTGGATCAGCTGCAGGCCCGTCTGCCGAATCCTCTGGGCCTGCGCGGGGCCTCCGGGGGGGGGGGGGGGGGGGACAGGTCAGACAAAGGGTGTGCAGTTTACCTCAAACTTTGACCCAGAGGGACCCACCTCTCTTCTTTATTTATCTTTTTTTTACCTTGTCCTGTTCAGCATTTCTGCAGTACAACTGAAATCTGAGTATTCTGAGTGCTATGCTGAACAAAATTGCTTTGCCAAGCGAGGCTTTGTTAGTGAGAACCCCCCCCTCAATTACCCAAAACTGCTTGATTTATTCATTTTTGTTAGCAAACTTACATGTGTCAAATAGTGCCGAACCTGACAGAGGGAAGAAAGAAGAGCAGTGGAGAGGAGAGAGAACCTTTCGAGAGAAAGAGAAAGGGAAAAGAAAGAAAGACAACACCCACCTCTCTTCTTTATTTTTTTGCTTATTTTATTTTTTACCTTGTCCTGTTCAGCATTATGCCATCAGAACTGAAATATGAGTATTCTGAGTGTTATGCTGAACAAAATTGCTTTGCCAAGCGAGGCTTTGCTAGTGAGAAGCCCCCCCTTGATTACCTAAAACTGCTTTATTTTTTCATTTTTGTTACCAATAATGCCGATCCTGACAGAGGGTCAGGGAAGAAAGCAGAGCAGTGGAAAGGAGAGAGATCCTTTAGAGAGAAAGAGAAAGGAAAAAAATAAAATAAAATAAAGACACACCCACCTCTCTTCTTCACGCCGGCGGTCCTGGCGCTGCCCGCCGTGGCCGATGGCGGCGGACCGGGCCCTCCGCCCGACAGCAGGGGGTTCCCCACCTCATCTGCCGGGGGACACAGAAACACCACACACGGGTTGAGAGAGGGAAGTCCCCCCCCTCCCGCCCGGCGAGGCCTCGGGGGGCCGGCTCACCCTGGATGAAGTTGATGAACATCTCCAGGTCCCGGATCTGGGTCTTCAGCTGCTCCACCAGCTGCTCTTTGACGCGGCCGGGGTTCACGATCTGAGCGATGGCCGAGTCCACCCTCTGCCTCAGCTCCTCCGGGGACAGGTTCCCGATGTCCTCGTTCAGGTTCACGTCCAGCTTCTTGATCAGCTCGTCGATGATCACCTAAAAACAGAAACAGACTCTGTGGTGATCTCACTCGTTAACTCATCGGCTGCCAAAGACGTCTATAGACGTCTTTTATGTTTTTCAACGCGAGTGGCTTGGGGGACCATCTGCTAAAGCTTGTCCGTAAATATCTGCTTCTAGACAGAGTATGTAGTAACAAATTGACCCTCTAGGTGGCAGTGCCACTTTTGATGGGAGATGAGCATAGACTGTAAGCAAATAAGAAAAAGTAAACGGTTCAATATGAGAGAACATGTCGCCTGTGAGACGCAAGTCGAGGAAGAACGGAATAAGGTAGAAACACATTTTTTTTCCTGATGAAAGAAGAAAGTCTACTCTTTCTTTTGGTGTGTTCGGTGTTTACATAGTCATAGCACAAACTATTCTGTGGCTCTTGAAAAATCAGTCAAAATGCTCAAAAAACTCTGGCAGTATGGGACTCTGTTCTGAAAATGGCTGGCAGTCAATGAGTTAAGAAGCTTTTTTAAAACTTTTATTGAGATTTTGAGGACATAATCTAAACTGAGTAGACCCCTTTTTAACAGATTAGATTCTGGTGTCTGTGAATGGTGCACTGCAGGATGGATTCGAATAAAAAGGGTCTGACGGATTTTCAAAACAAAAAGCCAATTTAGTGCCAGGTTGGCAGCCTGATTAAAGCAGCACTTCCTGGTCCTCTGTGTGTCTCTGGAACGAGCCGTAAGCGTTGATTCCAGGACCTGATTAACTGGGACTTCCTTGAACGGCGTCTTCAGTTATGCAAACAAGGAACTGTCGCACGGTGCCAGGAAGAGGAGGAGAAAACACATATCTGGTTCTACAGCACCCGCTAACTCTTTAAGAGGATGGTAAAGGAGGGAAGGGGGGAGTGCTGTTCGGCTAGTTCACAAAAGGGCCGAGTAAAAAGCCTGAGAAAAATGAAATGCTTGACTTGTTCCAGCTGACTGAAAACAGGTAACAGGCCTCATTGTTCCCTGAACGTTACACACACAGCTGGTCACACGCCCCCACCTTCTGCCTCTCCATGACGACAGACTGCGGCAGCGAGTCGTAGCTGCCCTCCTGATAGGCGAAGCGCTCCAGATCGTCCAGCTGCGTCTTCAGCTGGAAAATGAGATCCTTCTGTTTTTCCCGCTGAGCCTCCAGCCGCTCCCTCTTCTCCCTCTCGCTCTGACAGGAGACAGGGACAGTGAGCGGGGGGGCGAGAAGGACCCACAAACACACAGCCAATGCAATCAGACCGTTTGTAAAATGTCTAATGAGACCTCTTCTGGGCCCGGAGAGAGGAGGGACGGGTTATACTCACCAAGTCGCCCTGCAAACGGAGCATGTGGCGAGAGAGAAATAAAGAGAACACACTGAGCACGTTTGAAGCATTCAATACCCCCTTAAGGCTGAAAGCTGAGCTCTGAGGACAAAGACGGGTGCTTCAGGACTGTGTACACAGACAGGAACGAGTTGGGGGCGTTTACTCTCGGCCCCAGTTGCCCGGAGCCACGCACAAAAGCAGCGCTCCACCTGAGATAAGGGAACTCCAGGAACAAAGCCCAGGTGGGCGCAGCAGCACCGCCAGTGACGCAACAGGAGAACCATCCACTGTAATTCAGCAGCTCCCAGCCTCTGATATCTGGGGTTAATCTGTGTGTGACACAGTGTGTGAGGCTGAATAGAGGGAGAACACTCTCCTGATGGAGCTTCTTCATTGGATTCATAACCAAAATCTAAGACTGGTGTAGAAAATCAACCCCAAATTAAAGAGGAATGCTTTTAAATCCACATCTACACACGTACATCTACACATGTAGATGTGTAGATGTACTGGAAATGAGCAAGAACAACTAAATACTCTGGAATCAGAACCCCTCTCGATATGTGAGGAGCAAAACTGGGGTTGCTTATCTTTAACTTGCAATGTTTGAAACCACACCGCATTTTGCTTTTATGTTAACTTATTCTGTACATTGGGATAAATCCACTGTGTATCACTCTATACACTAAATCACCAATTCAGCTACATCATTCGAATGAAAGAAAAATAAATTGTTTGGCAACAGATGCAAACTCCACTCTTTTTTTGCGATTTGTCCTCCCCCAAAGGCAAAAACAAAAAAAGTTTAGCAAAACATTTCTGCAAAGGAACTGGTAATGTAGAAGATTGGAACCTTAAAAGTTGCAACGTTATTGCCATAAAAAAATGCAAACAGTTTAATAAGAATCAGATTATTCCATAAACATCTTTAACCCTTTAAAGCCTGATCCAAGAACAAAACAAAACAGAAAATGACTTTTTGGGGTTCAAATTCCTTATTTGGCCTTTTAACAAAATATGTAAAAAGAAAAAAAACAGAAATACATTTCTAATATTGATAATTTATTACCATGTGATAAGTCCAGATTATTTTTTGTGTAGTTTTCTGCCCCCTGTTATCAGGTGCATCTGATTGTATACAAAAGGTTTTTAAGCAAAGTTTTTACCAGTAAATTATGCAAAAGGTGTCAGAAACAAAACATTTCAGAAACCGTATGTATCAAATATGATACCTTTGGCATTACAGGGTTAATTTAGAGTATTAAAAAAAGTGTCTCCGGTTGCTTGACAGAGGACCAGAGGGCTCACCGAGTTCTCCAGCTGCGTGGCGTCCTGAGCCCGGCAGCCCACGACGTGCGGGCAGCCCCTGAAGGCGAAATCCTCCAGCTCCGCCAGCATCCGCTCCTTCTCCTCGCTCTGCGCGTGGACTATCTGCTTCAGCCTGAACTGGACCTGAGCGAAGTGGGACGTGAGGGCCAGCAGGGAGGAGTTCAGCGAGTCCTGCTCCTCCTCGAGCTTCTTCAGCCGGGCGGCCATCTCCTCTTCGGTGGCCGGAGACCGACCCCCGCACCCGGGCTCATCCTCCGGACTGGCCACGGCTCCCACCGGAGCCCACCGCTCCCCGGCAACGGCCAGCCCGGCCTCGCTGTCCGAGGCCGACAGCTCCTCTGTGGACATCTTAAACGAAAAGGATTCACCCCGGCTCTTTTCTCCGGGTTACAACCGGCGGAATGCAGCTGGTTAATTCCCCAAAGCAGCGCAGACTACAGCTGGGATCATCGCCAGAGAAACAGGTGCATCGCCATTTTGGGAAAGATGAATCATACGTCAGCGTACGTGATGACGTATGAAAAGCTGAGCCGACGTAAAGACGGAGAACCGGAAGTTGAGGAGCTTTCGAAATCACAGCGAAACTCTCACCGAGAGAAACTTCATTTACTAAAATATAATATATAACATTAGATATTATATAGAATATTATATATATATAATATATATATTAGATATGATATATTTGAAAAGAAGAAACACTTCTAATATGTGAGAAAGTAAATATTTCCCTGAAAAAAGCTAATTAAATGACTAAAAACATTAAGTAGACATATTTCTCACTCCAAGGCGATTGTGTTTCCTGGACAGACACCATGTAAACTGCAGCCTGGTGTTGGTCCAGTCCCTCCAGCTGTTTATTCACCTGACCTCTGCTCCTAGACTTATCTTTCAGTTAAGCTTCACTCTCAGGAAGAGGCTCTTCTGTATCCCGTGTACTCTAAAATTGTTTTTTATCTTTAAATGAATCATTGTAGGTTCAATATTTATTTCTTTATAAACTGCTACAAACCTAAACAATGTATATTGTATATAACAATCTATATGTGTAATCTGACTCTGTAAACCAGGGTGAATATTGCAATGTTGGCCTGAGAAAAGCAAATAAGGCCACTTTACACCACATGATCATTATTTGATATAAGTTTCCCTGTTAGTTCTTCCTGAATTCAAACACACTCTTCTCAGTTTTATGATTTTAAATTATACAACCTTTGTTATATACAGTCTGGGTGAGTTACAGCTGTGTGTTCACACGATAGAGACATGGTTGGGCCATTACAGCAGTATATTAAAGCATGTGTAACTACTGTTTACGAAAGGCTGTTTCCTGTGACAGAGACCTCATTCTTACACCAGAGGGAGTGATGTGTCAAGTTTGAATGTCTTTTATTGATGTCTTCATGGGAAAATGTGGAGAAATCTTTAGTCCAACAAAAAGCACGAAAGCTTCACTTTTGTCTCAATTAACAGGATGGTAAATGCCACTTAATTATTGGGGATTATTTACCTGATCATAAAATGTAAACCACAAGCAGATTTACACACTTGAAACAAATGATGTGGGATTTAGTCCCCAATAAAAACATAGATCAACAATAAAAGTAAAGTTTGTCAGATTCAAAACCATAACATGCCGTTTATGCGGGAAGGTAGGGGCAAGACTTGATGAAGAATACATTTTCAAAGATGTCTGACAGTCGGTAAAATCACTTTGCCTCAGAGTGTTTCAGTTGGAGGTCATTTGATGAAGTAGAGTTTCAAGTAATAAACTGTGTGTGCTGACAATAACAAGGATCTACCTCGATTTTCAAAACGGTTCACCTTAACATTCGCTCACATAGACAGAAGCTTGTGTCTCGAAGCTTACTGACCATCACAGCCCCCTTGAGTGCAATTCAGTTTTACAGTGTCAAATAGAACAAAGCATTTCAAAATCTGTTTTAAAGAAAAATCCCTCATCTGAACTCCCTTTAGTGCGTTGCACTCAGAAATAAACAACAGTGCATTGAGATGTTTTTACACAATTAGAGCTCTTTTCTTGTTGGCGTAGAAGACGTGCCAGTTGTGCCAGTTGAGGCCCGTGTCCTGGCTGCAGGAGCCCTCCGGGGAGCAGGAGTAGCCGGTGGGGCAGCAGTGCTTCATGTCGCTGCAGCACACCGCCTGTGGGGGCAGAGCGAGACTCGGTTACCCGCTGACTTACTGCATCAATCAATCAATCAATCAATCAATCAGTCAATCAATCAATCAATCACTTCATTTTGGTAAATTGTCCACATTAAACACAAGAAACAACAAAAGGAAAAAAAGAAAAAAAACAATAGACAAACCGACAGTTTACCAAAAAAGGAATAGGCCGAAGCAAAGCTTATTCTTGCCTACCCTATTTTTTACCTTACAACCTTATAACCTACCAGGATTTCTTTAAATTCAGATTCAAGTACATAGTACATATATAGATCTACATAAGAACGTAAGATTTTATCATTTTACATTTTAAAGCTCTTTTAAAGTTCACCAAGAAAGGACATAACTTCAATTCATCATTCAATTCATTCCACAGTTTCATAACAAAAACTGAAACACATCTAGACTTTATCTGACTTTTTTCTTTTGCACATTCAAATATAAACAAACCTCGCAAATTATATTTATTTTCTCTCAACTTAAATAATTTCTGAATACCAGAAGGAAGACTTTTATTCAATGCTTTATACATTATTTCCAGTATTTTTATATAAACAATATCTTTAAATTTTCATATTTGACTTTGAATAAAGAGTTGATCAGTTGGTTCACGGTATCCCACCTTATTTACCTTATTTGCATTCCAGACAAACATAAGGCTTAAACCTCACAGTTCAGAGTTAAATGTGGGACTTACGTTGGCGGCCGGGCAGCAGCCCCAGGAGGCGGCGGACGTCCTGCAGCAGGTTTCGTCCTCGTTGCAGCTGGTCTGGTCGTCGCACCGGACGTCTGCGTGCTGTAGCGGAGTGGGCGGAGGCCGGTACTCGGGCAGGTACACCGGGGTGAGCGGGAGCGTCTCCAGCTGCAGCAGGATCAGCTTGTGGCAGGACATGGAGGCCAGGTTGCAGGTGTAACCCTGCGGGCAGCAGTGCTCCTTATCCGGGCAGCACACGGCCTGCGGGCGACCACAGACGGCTCATTTTAGAACAAAAAAAAACAGATAGAGGGGCTTCCCTGCTCTGATTGACCTCACGCGGCCCTCACGTTCTGCAGGGGGCAGCAGCCCCACCGGCCGGTGGACAGCCGGCAGCAGGAGGTGTGCTCGGGGCAGCGGTTCCCGCCGTCGCACCGCACGGAGCCGGGATCGGGATCGGCCTGCACGCTGGAGCTGGCTTCGATCTTGGTGTACCACGGGATGACCACTCCTCCTCTGACGCACGAAGTCTGGCTCTCGGTGCACTTGTAGTCGTTGGGACAGCAGTGGTCCCCATCAGCGCAGCACACGGCCTGGGTAGAGAAGTGAGACAGGAAGTGACATTTTCACTTCATCCATCCTGTACTCACTTCTGCTTTCCTGTCATCTAAAGTCCGAGTCATGGAAATCAAAGCAATGTTCTGTGCTGCAAACTGAACCAACACCAACAAGGGGATTTATATTCTCTTGGGTGATTACATCCTGCGGTTGATTCCTTTAGATAGTAACCGGAATAATAGTGGAGATGTTAAAAATACGTCATGCAAATTATGCTAAATCTGATTTATTGTGTATCCTCTGTTCCTCAGGAACTGTACGATTGGTTATTTGCAGCTGAGGA